TATTTCTATGGTTCAAGACTACACGCGTTAGCTCTCGGGGTTATCGGACATTTGATACGCGCTCTGCCCCCTTTGCCATTGGCAACCTAACTTTGAACTCAAATATCTTGGCTTTGAGCTGTCCAATTTAGATATTTTTTGTATCATTAGATGCTCCAAGTCTTTCTCTATCGATTGGTACAAAAAACTGTTTAAATTGGACAGCGCAACACCAAGAAATTTGAGCTCAAAGTTAGATTGCCAATGGCAAATGAGGCGGGGCGTGTATAAAAAGTCTTTCTGGCTCCGCCCCCTTTGCTATTAGCAATCTAACTTTGAACTCAAATTTCTTGGTGTTGGATTGTCCAATTTAAACATTCTTGGTATCATTAGATCCGTCTGTATCGATTGGTACAAAAACTGTTTAAATTAGACAGCACAACACCAAGGAATTTGAGCTTAAAGTTAGATTGCCAATAGCAAATGGGGCGGGGCGCGTATCAAATGTCTCAGAATTAGTTCTGGGATTGTTCGCTTTGAAAATCTTGACTCACTTACCTAAACCAAGTACAGTAAAGCCCCTGAATTGGCGTCACGGTTTTGATTTAGCTTATTTAAATTGGTAAAGCATAAAGCTCTAATGACATTGGGACAGGTGTAACTCGTGGAAAGCGGTAGATTGGTAGAACGCTCGCGCGGTAAGCAAAAACGGTTTGAAATTCTAGGATTCCCAGCCGCAGCCCATAAAAAGATCTCGCGCTTTCAATGGCATGTCTAACTGGAGAATAGCAGTTAGTGCCACTTTCAAATTTCAGAATTTGATTTTTATGTTGGCTGTCCTTGTAAATGAGCAATTTCTCAGCTATTGAGTTAAAATTTAACCCTGTCAGACCGGTTCAATCAGTGCATCGAAGTCGGTGCATCGAAGTCAGTGCATCGAAGTCAGTGCATCGAACGACTGAACTGGGATGGACTGGACTGCTGTTTTGTATTCCAGCAAGACACAGGAAAACTCCAACCGCAAACCTAATTCTGCCTTCGTTTTCTCCGCCTTCGCTTTCTCCGCCGTCTCTCAGCCGATTCTTCTGAAATTTTGCTTAGAAATAGAAATTGGCATTCTCTGTTTGTAGACAAAATTTCAGAGCAATCGGCAAAGAGACGGCTGAGAAAACGAAGGTGGAATTAGGTTAGGTTTCAAATCTACTCTACCTAGTAGATTTGGAATTTTTCCAAATCTACTAGGTAGAGTTTTTGATGCTGGCTTCGAATCCGGTTTTACTGATAGCTTTGGGCTTTCCGTACAGTTTTGCTGCTGCTGGGTTGGAATTTTCCCCATGTCTAGTGCCAAATTCATCCTCAAGAACGTTCAACCCATCATTCACAGCTTTTAATAACTTAAAAAACTTTAACTTCTTTTGTTTGTTTGTTTTTTAAAAGTTTACCCCATCTAATTCTTGATCATTGTACAGATTAGAGCGCTTTTTACTCTAAAAGTAAGCGTGTTGATTGACAAGGATCGCTGTACAATCAAGAATCTCGTTTTATAGACGTTTTTTCATTGGTATTCAAGTTCAAAACTTTGCCGAATCAATTTTTAGCCCCCTTTCACTTCATCCCATTTTCTCATAAAGAGAGCAAAATATTCCATGTGAAAGCTTAAAAAGTTTCAGATATTTTCCGGGAAATTTTGGCTTTTTTTTGCTTTTTTGGCTTTTTTACGTGTTATTCTTGCATATTTGAGTAGGCAAACGATCAAAATAGAAAATTTTTGTGTTTTCTTTGACAAAAACCTTGACAAATAAACGTCAAATCACCTTGACAATCACAAATGTCAAATCACCTTGACAAATATGAGACAGTCGAGTCTGTTTGTTGATTGAATTCGAAGAAGAAAAGAATGAAAAGATTGCCAATCGCTTTTCTCTGAATTGAATCAACCATTGAATTGACAATCAAATCGACAACGCGCGACGTTCGGAGACATAAAACGGCTCAGACGATAAACAATGTTTTGTAGTTTAAATGGATCTTTTTGTAGTCGATTCGCAAACTCAGATCATCAAAACTCGTCATCAAATCATCAAACAGAACCAAATTCTTGTTCTGACCAAAATTCCATTGTCAGTTCGCCTATTCTTTCGAAAGAAGAAAGGATTTCCCAAAAACTTTCTTTAATTGCTCAAGTAAAAGATTTGATCGCACTGTTCAGCTTTAAAATGTTCAAGTAAAAGCTCAAGTAAAAGTCCCAGTAAAAGAAATCAACAAGCTACAAGGTTCACTATCGTAAACCTTGTAGCTTATTGATTTCACTAGTGGTTGAATAACGCAAACGTAAGGCAAAAGGCATGAAAAAGTAAATGAAAAGACTTTCTTTGCCATATACTTTGCGCTTAAAATGCAGCCCAACTCTATCTTCTCTTGCCCAATTCTAACCAGTTGTGCTTTTTGAAAACTTTAAAAGATTGGAACAGGATTTAGATTTAGATTTAGTGCGACACCGGGCTAGAAAGTAGAACCGATTACTTCGAATTGAATCTGTAAAAGGCTTGCTATATAGCTGTTTTTAGAATTACTGGAGAAAGGCACGAACTCAAGGTGAACTTTTGTCTAGACAGTGCACTTTATAAAATCGGGCATGAGGAATCCGAATCCGAAATCAAAATCTGCCAAATGACTTTCCAGGCGTGTAAAACTTCAATCGAAGATTTCGCGTGAAAACGGATACTTTAAAAGCCTTCTGCCGAGCGCTGAAAGGAGGCGTTGGTGGCCTAGTGGATAAGGCGTTCGGTTCTCGGTCACAGGATCAGGGTTCGGTTGCCTATGCATCTTTTTGGTTTTGTTTTTCTTTTGATGCAACTTCTCATTACACCGGGCTAAAAAGTAGAACCAATTACTTCGAATTGGATCTGTAATAGGCTTGCTAGCAACGCGCATAACTATTTAAATTACTTTAAATTTCAATTGAAATCAAAGCCAGGCCAATTCCGAAAAGTTGGCGTCTTAATCATCATTAATGAAGTGAATTTCGACTTTTTGGACAACAATTGCAAATTTGGTTTAGACTAGACTTGGAGGCTTATCAAATGCAATTCCAATCCAATTCAACTCCAATTCAAATCCAATTCAACTCCAATTCAAATCCAATTCAATCCTTATAGACTAGACTAGGTTTAGACTAGCCTTGGAGGCTTATCAAGTCCAATTCAAATCCAATTCCAATCCAATTCAACTCCAATTCAACTCCAATTCAACTCCAATTCAATCCTTATAGACTAGACTAGGTTTAGACTAGCCTTGGAGGCTTATCAAGTCCAATTCAAATCCAATTCCAATCCAATTCAACTCCAATTCAACTCCAATTCAACTCCAATTCAATCCTTATAGACTAGACTAGGTTTAGACTAGCCTTGGAGGCTTATCAAGTCCAATTCAAATCCAATTCCAATCCAATTCCAATCCAATTCCAATCCAATTCCAATCCAATTCCAATCCAATTCAACTCCAATTCGAATTCAATTCAACTCCAATTCAAATCCAATTCGAATCCAATTCAACTCCAATTCAACTCCAATTCAACTCCAATTCAACTCCAATTCAACTCCAATTCAACTCCAATTCAACTCCAATTCAACTCCAATTCAAATCCAAACCTTTAATCAAATCCTTATCAATACTTTTGAATTGTTTTCACTTAACCAAAACCTCTCCAATTCAGAAAATCTCTAAGCATTTCTGATTTCTGATTTCTATCGAATTTCCAAGTGAATAGACAGAACTAGTTTCATCATCAATCCCCAAATACGTCATAAAAAAACAAAAATCCGCCCACTTCACAAAAATTTCCATAGAAAGCGTTTAGTTTTCTTCTTCTTCTTCTTCTTCTCTCAGTCTAGAAAGGATTGGTCACACACCATTGAAAAGGGAAAAAGATCATTGAAAAACCGGCACGGAATCGGATTCGATAAGTCGATAATCTGTACTAAAACTTTTTCCACTTTTTTTTCATCTCTTATTTATCCTTTTACAGAATTCCCTCCGAAAATTGAACAATTTCTCTCGGATTTTTGGTGACTCAACGCCGATTTCAAATGATATTTATAGCGCTGGTGTTTTCCAGAAATCAAATTCAGTTTACCCACAAATTTCCTCTACTTTCCTCACTTTGACGTGAGGGAAATTCTTTGATTTCAGTTTTTAAAAGGGAAAATACCGTATTCTCTTTAATAATAGTGCACTCTCTAATAGTCTTTAATAATAGTTCACTCTTTAATAGTAGTCTTTAATAGTAGTGCACTCTTTAATAGTCTTTCATAGTAATGCACTCTTTAATAGTCTTTAATAGTAGTGCACTCTCTAATAGTCTTTAATAGTAGTGCACTCTATAATAGTATTGCGGTCCGAGAGGGGGTTAAAAAAATAGTAGTGCATCCTCGAAAATAGTAGTGCACCTTTCTGGTGCTTCTTTTTCATCTAAACCTTTTTGACTTTATGTTTATGTAACATTCTAAAGCTATTCAAGCAAGCAAAAGTGAGGCTTTTTTTATTCATTTATTAACTCTTCATGAAAAACTATTCTTCACATGAAAAAGTTAACAAAAAATCTAAAATTGTTGTGCAAAGTGCAAAAACATCTTTTTGTTGTTTGTCAAGACACAAATTGTCAACTCCCCAGCCCACAACTGTATGTCAAAAGGAGCCGAAGGAGTACGTGAAAGAATTGCAAGAATTTTTGGAACAAATCTTATATCTGTCTTACTTTGGTAAATGATAAAACTCTTTAATAGTAGTGCACTCTCTAATAGCATTGCCGTCCAGGAGGGGGTTCAAAAAATTGTAGTGCGCACTACTATTAGAGAGAATACGGTATACTTTAAAGTAAAGCTTTCTGCTTTCTGCTTTCGATGACTAAAATCTCATGTCTCACAAATCATTTCTTTTCTTTTTACGTTTCTTTTGAAGTTTAAAACTTAATCTTTAATCTAATCGCTTACAGATCACTTTCTCCAACTTCGCAGATCAAAATGAAAGACAATAAAGGTGGCGGCGGGATTTTCTACGCGAAAACTCGCTATATTGTGCTATTTTTGGGTGAGTTTTGCTAGGAAAAAAAGTGAAATTTCACTGGAAATAGATCAAAACTTATAGAAAACTCTATATTTTGCTCAATAAGCTTTCAATTTCGATTCAGAATTCAGAATCCTGTACTATTCACTTACCTAGGCACGGCTAGCTTTCATAGGCACGGCTAGCTTTCATAGGCTTTCATAGGATAAGTTTTATTTTTGAAACTCAATTCATTGAAAGCTATGAAAAAACTTTAATAATAGCTAATAAATAGCTAATAAATAGCCAATAAATAGCTAATAAATAGCTTTAATAAGTAGCTTTAAAGCTTACTTTACAGCTTTACTGTTTTAAAAACAAGATACCGTATTTCTTCGAATAGAAGACCGGGTAAAGAGTATCATCGCGTACTCCTGCGTAGCAGCCCTTTTTAAAATTTCTTTTTTTTGCATAAAAGCTTTCAATCAAGTGCTATAGAGCTGGAAAATGGCTCAAAAATCTGTTAGCTCACGTCATTTTCCATTTTCCAGTCATTTCCCAGCCCTATAGCACTTCATTGAAGGCTTTTATGCAGAAAAGAAATTTTAAAAAGGGCTGCTACGCAGGAGTACGCGATCATACTCTTTACCCGGTCTTCTATTCGGTAATAATAGAAATACGGTAATAATCATCAGGAACTGTTTTTCGAAACTTTTCCAAAAAAAAAACCAAAAACTCGGCGGCAAGTGGAATTGAACCCGCAAGCAGGAGGCCTATGGGTTTTAGAGTCTAGCACACTATCCCTTAGACCACCACTGCTTTTACTGCCCCTCGGCAGTGGTCCTCTTATAAGGCTTCTTCGCCAAAAAATTCCAAAACTTTAGACACGTTTTTCTCGAAAACTATAGCAAAAAGTAAAAAATAAATGTTTCTTAGAATTCTAGCTTTTTTTAGTTTTAGGGAGTTTTATAGCAATTTCCGGTTTGGAAAATCGGTGGTTTGTTGAAACAATTCTCTAGTAAATCATTGCTGAAAATTGGTTACCAGATTAAGAATGACCATCGATACTTACTTTCTTTTGCTTTCAAAGAGTTGTCCTTGTTGTCGAGAGTGAAAGGCGAAAATGATATCAAAATGTACTGCATTGTGACTAGAAAGAGTTATTCGACAAGTTCATTAGGGAATCAGAATCGTTTTCATTAAGAGAATGGTTCCTCATTGAAGTGGAAACTAAAAATGGGCGAATGTGGAAAAGAAAGCAAATAAAGTCGAGACAGAGAGTCGTTGTCGTTGTCGTTGATCAAAGCTGTCGTTCACAGCTTTGATCACCCGGATCGAATTGATCGGATAACACTAAAATAATTGAATAACACTAAAATCTCATTTAGCTCAATATTTCTTTAGCTCAATATTTCTTTATGCTTTATTCATGGGCGAATAGAAGCGAATCAGATAATCATAACTGCATATAACATATTGCTACAATACTCTCACCGAAAAAAGAGAGAAAACTAAAGATAGTACAGTAAGAGTATAGTTAGGAAACACAGATACAAAAAGATTAAATATAGGGCAGATTTGACATGGCAATAAGATCTAATTCGTTCACAGATACTTTCAATTTTCCTACAGACGAGAAGATACCAGACGGGAGCTTATTCCAAACCCTACTAAGAGAATGATAAAGGAGGTTCGCAAGAGAATGATAAAGGGAAAGATGATGGGGATGAGAACCGACCGAAATTTGATAAGGATGGCTACGTGAACTTCTAGAAATCTCTACAATTTTCAAGAGGCTTTGAAATTCTGGATGTGACTTAGGGTGGAAAAGAATTTTATAGCAAAAAATAAGATTTTACACATTTCTTTTCCAGGACACTTTACACATTTCTTTTCCAGGATCTGCTTGCATTGCATCGATCGCCTCGAATATGATCATTCTCAATTTTACACTCATTTGCATGGGAAACTCGACACTGGTTGGGAGAAATTTAATCACTAAATATCTTTAAAAGTATCGAAATCTCAAAAATATCGAAATAAAATCGAAAAATAAGTAGTTTTCAAATTTTCAGACCTCCGCTGAGCTTCATTTCAGCTTTGACAAGCACCCTGTAAAAGTTTCAGCTAGTCAGGAAAAATGATTAAATTAAAAAAGATTAGATTAGTTTTAGATAAATTCGGTTGGTGAATTGAAAAGTGCGGACGTTGTACTAAAATTTATTCAACATAAAATCATCAATCCATTCCGAATAATTTCCATTATTATTAATTATATTAGTGCTAAATTGGTACAAGTGGCACACACTATTCGATTAAAAATCAGTTGGAATCAGTCGCTGATCCTTGGGATAGAACAAAGCCAGTCTTGTTGGATTCTTGACCAATAATCTACTATAGTTGTTACGTCCGATCTAGGAATCCGTTCAATCTAGACTGATTCTAGATCGGACGTGCGATCTAGAATCGTCTGAATCGTCTAACTCTGGATCGGATGTCTAGAGTGAAGTGAGGTCTAACGTCTGATCTAGAATCAAGCCGATCACTCTAAGACAGGCATCCGATTCAGAGTAAGATTTAGAGTGATCTAAATCTTACTCTGAATCGGATGCCTACCTTAGAGTGATCGGCTTGATTCTAGATCAGACGTTAGACCTTAATTCACTCTAAATCGAACGTCCGATCTATTGGGTTGGTGAATTGAAAGCTGCCGGACTTTGAACTAAAATTTATTGAACATAAAACCATGAATTCATTCCAAATATTCCATTATTATGATTCCATTATTATTGACGACTTGTGCCCATTTTACAGGCAATTTGCGGATTCCTCTTTCGTAGTAGGATTTTGGTTTGTGTGTGAGACAAGTGTGAGACTCAAAAATGGAGGACTGGAGATGGAGACTGGAGATCCCAGTTTGAGCACTTTCTTCAAAAGAAACCCATTTTGGTGTCAATAGAAAAGTTGTAGAGAATCAAAAATGAGGCTTATAGCCAAATTTCCAAAAAGATACACTTAGTAGTTTCGCTTAAAATGCAAGTTTTGTGAAAATTTGGCATTTCTTTCTTAAATTTGGCACTTCTTGAAAAGCAGTTTTTGAATCGTTCTGAAAATTTGGATATAAGCTTGATTTTTGATTCTCTACAACTTTTCCATTGACACCAAATGGGTTTCATTTTAAGAAAGTGCTCAAACTGTCACACATGACAATAGCCCGCAGTCTTCAATTCACCAACCCAATAGAAATAGTTTAGAAAGAGAAATTCCTAAAATGGAAAAATTTTCAGAATGAGGATGACGCTCAAGCGATGGCCAACCGCGGGACACACGATTACACCCAAAAAGAGAAATCGTTTCTGAATTGGGCGGTAGCGGTGGGGACACTGCTTGCCGCGTGGCCATTCCATTGGTAGGATTCTATTCGAATCATTTTTAGGAGGTTATTTTGTGCTTGCAGAAACACAAGAATCTAGAAAAGTTTATACTCAAATTTGTTCTGAAATAATCCCAGATTTGATTAAAAAGAGCTTAAAGTGATTGATACATTGACGAACATTGATACAAAAGCAAACAGAATGTTATTTTGGGATTTGATCCTCATTTCATAAGATAATAAAGCGAGGACTTTAATATAAAGCTCTAATAATAAACTCTAATAAAACTCTAAACTCTAAACTCTAATCTCTAAACTCTAAGCTCTAAACTCTAATCTCTAAGCTCCAAACTCTATAGCAAAGTAAGTAAGCAAAGTAAGCAAAGTAGCAAAGTGATGAGGAACATTGATACAAAAGCAAACAGAATGTTACTTGTTGATTTGATCCTCATTTCATAAGATAATAAAGCGAGGACTTTAATATAAAGCTCTAATAATAAACTCTAATAAACTCTAATAATAAACTCTAATAAACCCTAATAATAAACTCTAATAATAAACTCTAATAAACTTTAATAATAAACTCTAATAAAACTCTGATCTATAGTACACAAACTAATAATATTTGAACAATTGTAGTGATTGGAAAAAATTTTATCGCTATATTATACTATTATTAAAGTCCTCGCTTTCCACATTCAGTAAATTTACCATAAACTTTACTTAAAACGGGCGCTCTGGTTAGTTTGATGTGTTACTTTAACGATAAACTTGTGTCAAGTATTATCATTTAAAAATTTCCCATCATCAATCCTATTTCTAGGTTCTACGAGAAGTACGGTGCCCGAAGCGTTTTCTTCATCGCCGGAATGATCTCAGCCGTTTCGACGGCTCTGATTCCACTCGTATCTCGGCTTGATTTCAAGTTGTTCCTCGCCATGCGATTCTTCCAGGTATTATAAGAAGACGAGAGATCTGAACACAATCTTTACTACTGACGCAGAATAAGTATTTTTTTGAATGCAGTGTAATTTTCTAGATGATTTGAGCAAGAGCTTCTAGATGATTTGAGCAAGAGCTTCTAGATGATTTGAGCAAGAGCTTCTAGATGACCGTGCTTTTTTTTTTTTTAGAGAGTTAGAGGTTTTGGGCAAAGGTTTCTAGATGACTTCTAGAAAATTCTCTCCATTCCAGGGTATCTCATTTGGTGCCGATTTCGCGGCAATCGGTCTCATCGTCGTGCATTGGGCTTCACTCAAACAACACGGTTTCTTCATCTCATTGCTCTCATCGTTTTCCCAAATCTCTGTCATGTTTACAATGCCTGTCGCTGGAGAGGTAAAACTTTATATCGAAAGCTAAACTAAAAAGCTATCTGCTACATCTATTACGTCCAAATCCGAACTAAACCCTTGAACACTTTGCTTGCCTGTATCTCCAAAACTAGTGAGCCGATTTTGATGTTTTTGGTGTCATTTTGTAGAGCAAGACTTGTAGATTCTGAAATAGAATTTAATTTAGTAAAAATATATGAAATTAGTTTGGATTTGGATGCCTGAAAAGGTTAGTTCGAACGTCCGAATCTCACTAATTTCATTTTCTTTTACGAAATTCACTTTTTCCACGTAGCTTTTTATTAAATTAACTTTTTTTTAGCTTTACTTTAAGAATCTATATGTTATTCTCTACAAAATAAGCTATCACACGTTATTTTTGGTTCACATTTGAGTCACTAAAAAGTAGCTTACAAAAGTGTCATAAAATGTCAGTTTTTTTAGCCACGGCGACAAAAACTAGGTCCCAAAATCCCTTATGTCCCAAAATATCCAGCCTGAATACAAATTCAAGTTATTCAAAGCTTTGTCCGGCTTTTGCGGGCATCGGGCAAAATCGAAGTTCCACGAAACACCTGGGAGTCGAACCCGGACCGTGTGGGCCGTAGAAACTGCGCCACGACTGCGCTAAGACGGCGCCAAGACTGCGCCACTCCTGACTGCGCCACGTCGTACATGGCATCGGGGCAGAAAAACCCTCTGTTAATCAGGTTTTTCGGCTGATAGCTCTCTATTGTGACAAAGTTCTGTTTATTATTGTAAAGATTATTGTAAAGCCTATCTAAATTTGAAATCTGAAAACCTTTCCTTTCCCAGCTCTGCTCCTCTCCATTGGGATGGGAAGCAGCCTATTATGTGCACGCCGTTCTCTGCGTTGTCCTCTTCGTCTCCTGGTGGCTCTATTACAGAAATGATCCAGTTGATCACCCGAAAATGACCGATGTGAGTAAAACTTTGAAATGACATGAAAAAGACATAAAAAGACATAAAAAAGACGAATATTTCTAGGTTGAGCTCGAGAAAATCCATCGTGGCAAGAGCGCGGCTGCGTTGAAGAATGAGGAGAAGACACCGATTAAGGTAAAAAATTGTTTCAATTCATTTCAATTCATTTTTTGCAATCATATCTATCATATCTTTTTACAATCCTCTTTACCAATGAAATCTATTTTGATTTAAAGCACAAAAATCTTGCAGGAGATCATGAAAGACCCGGTTGTTTGGAGTGTTTGGTTGTCGGCTTTCGGCGAGTTGATGATGTCACAGTTCATCGTCATGTACGGTCCAACGTATCTGAAAGAGGTAAAAGAATACCGTAAACATTTTAAACAGAAGAGACGGCTCTTTTCTGTTTGTTAGTGAAAGAAAAAGCGGAAAATTGAATATCATTTAATTTTCAAAGAAAAAAATCCACAACTCGAGCAGTTTTCCGCTTTTTTTTTTGCTTTTTCCGTCACATAGCTGCCCCATTTTGCTTTGAAAATCAAAAGATATTCAATTTTCCGCTTTTTCTTTCACTAACAAACAGACAAGAGCCGTCTCTTCTGTTTTTCAATCTCTAAAATTCTTTTTCGTGCTCTAGCTACAGCTCAAGAGCTCAAAAAAACCGTGTTTTTGCTGAATTTTCATCCGCTTTTGGCGTCATTAAGCTTTTTTAATTTATAACTATTATTTTAAGTTCTTAGAAGTCTATAAAAAGTTGAGCATTTTGCTATCCGAGAGTTGACAAGTTGAAAAAAATGAAAGATTTTTTCTAAAGAGGGTTTTTTTAATAGAGAGAGCTCTTCAATTAGAATAATTATCGGTTCTGAATCGGTTGAAATCGGTTGAGATTGGTTGAAATCGGTTGGAATCGGTTGGAATCGGTTGAGATTGGTTGAAATCGGTTGAAATCGGTTGAAATCGGTTGTGAATCGGTTGAAATCGGTTGAAATCGGTTGAAATCGGTTCTGGATCGATTGAAAACGGTTAAAATCGGTTGAAATCGGTTGAAATCGATTGAAATCGGTTGTGAATCGGTTCTGAGACGGTTGAAATCAGTTGAAAATCGGTTAAAATCGGTTGGAATCGGTTAAAATCGGTTGGAATCGGTTAAAATCGGTTGAAATCGGTTGAAATCTGTTGGAATCGGTTAAAATCGGTTGGAATCGGTTAAAATCGGTTGGAATCGGTTAAAATCGGTTGAAATCGGTTGAAATCTGTTGGAATCGGTTAAAATCGGTTGGAATCGGTTAAAATCGGTTGGAATCGGTTAAAATCGGTTGAAATCGGTTGAAATCTGTTGGAATCGGTTCTGAATCGATTAGAAAAAGATATTTTAATTTTGAAAACTACGTTTTCCATTCCAGGTTCTTGGTTTCCAAGTGGCGCACACTGGCTACTTCGTCGCCATTCCCCGTTTCGTGCATTTGCTCTTCAAAATCGGCTCCGGAATCGCTAGTGACAGAATAAAGTGAATAAAACAGAAAAAATATAGTAAATATACTCTAATCTAGACTAAATACCGTAATCTAGACCAAATACCGTAACCTAGGTATTCTAGACTGAATATCCTGTTCAAGGTTTAATACCGTAATCCAGACAGTCAAGACCGAATACTCTAATCTAGACTGAATACTCTATCTAGACTGAATACCTTAATCTAGCTATTCCAGACTGAATATCTTATTCTAGATTGAATACCGTAATACAGACAGTCTAGACGAATACTCTAATCTACACTGAATATTCTAATCTAGACCGATGACCATAATCTAGACTAACTACCGTAATCCAGCGATTCTATACAGAATCTACTATTCTAGATTGAATATTCTAGATTCTAGATATAATCCAAACAGTCTAGACTGAATAATCTCTATAAAAACTTTCTAAATATAATAAATAGAAATCTAAAACTTTGAATTTGACGTCAAACTTTCAGATGTTTGTCGGAGAAAGTGAAAATGATCATTTTCAACACGATCGCTTTGATGGTTTCCGGAGTTTTCTTCTGCATTCTCGGATTCGTTTCAAAGGTGAGCCTTGTCTTCATTGTACTTTGTGCTCATGTAAACAAACCTTTTCAAACCTAGAAACATACACTAGAACACTGGATTCTTTTTAGGAATACGCCTCTTGGGCTCTAATGATTTTATTGGTAATCGAGTCGACAACGGGTTGCATTTGCGGAGGTTTCTACAAGTGCGCTACACTTGTGGCCAGGTGAGAGAGTTTTCTTCGGATATTAGCTTCATTTCAGCTTTGACAAGCACCCTGTGAAAGTTTCAGCTAGTCAGGAAAAATGATTAAATTAAAAAAAGATTAGATTAGTTTTAGATAAATTCGGTTGGTGAATTGAAAAGTGCGGACTTTGAATTAAAATTTATTCAACATAAAACCATGAATTCATTCCAAATAATTTCCATTATTATTGATTATATTAGTGCTAAATTGGTACAAGTGACACACACTATTCGATTAAAAATCACTTGGAATCAGTCGCTGATCCTTGGGATAGAACAAAGCCAGTCTTGTTGGATTCTTGACCAATAATCTACTATAGCTGTTACGTCCGATCTAGGAATCCGTTCAATCTAGACTGATTCTAGATAGGACCTAGAATCGTCCTAGAATCGTCTGAATCGTCTAACTCTGGATCGGATGTCTAGAGTGAAGTGAGGTCTAACGTCTGATCTAGAATCAAGCCGATCACTCTAAGACAGGCATCCGACTCAGAGTAAGATTTAGAGTGATCTAAATCTTACTCTGAATCGGATGCCTACCTTAGAGTGATCGGCTTGATTCTAGATCGGACGTTAGACCTTAATTCACTCTAAATCGAACGTCCGATCTATTGGGTTGGTGAATTGAAAGCTGCCGGACTTTGAACTAAAATTTATTGAACATAAAACCATGAATTCATTCCAAATAATTTCCATTATTATTGACGACTTCTGCCCATTTTACAGGCAATTTGCGGATTCCTCTTTCGTAGTAGGATTTTGGTTTGTGTGTGAGACAAGTGTGAGACTCAAAAATGGAGGACTGGAGATGTCCGATACAGAGTTTGAGCACTTTCTTTAAAGAAACCCATTTTGGTGTCAATAGAAGAGTTGTAGAGAATCAAAAATGAGGCTTATAGCCAAATTTCCAAAAAGATACACTTAGTAGTTGCGCTTAAAATGCAAGTTTTGTGAAAATTTGGCATTTCTTTCTTAAATTTGCATTTCTTGAAAACCAGTTTTGAATCGTTCTGAAAATTTGGATATAAGCTTGATTTTTGATTCTCTACAACTTTTCCATTGACACCAAAATGGGTTTCTTTTGAAGAAAGTGCTCAAACTGTCACATATGACAATAGCCCGCAGTTTTCAATTCACCAACCCAATAGAAATCGCCAAATTTCATCAAACTAGACTTATTATGAGATGAAGAACTAGTGTGGTGTACTTTGCGCTTAAAAAGTGGAATTAAACCCTTTCTGGTGCACTTGTTGATTCATTTTCTTTGGAGCAGTATGCCGTTAGAATGAAAAGTGAAGAATTGACAGAAAAAGTGCGTTTGCAGCTAAGCTATAAATAAGTTTACAGCTAACTTTACTGTTAAGCTATAATACAGACGTTAAAAATTCTTTTAAAGTCTCCGGAATTGTTTGAAAGCTATCGGAAACTACCGTAATCTTTGATCAGGCTCTTGTTCTATGAACTTGTTCAATTTTCTATGAACTTTGGCATCTTTGTGAGTACAAAATGAGCCCAAAAGTGGATAGATTCGTGTAAAAAACTAGTAGCAAGATTACGGTAGCTTTTAGAGCTTACAGTAGCTTAGAGTTGACACATTTTAGAACTAGGAAGACAAATTGTAGCTCATTGACAAATTGTAGCTTGACAAATCATCCAAATAAGCATAAGATTTCAGGCAACACTCGCATTTCGTCCTCTCGCAAATCCAATTCATCAAATGTCTCTCGCTCTTCATCGAGCCTCTCCTCATCTTCCTCATTTGTCGTCACAATACCCTCGCCGAGTGGCGTATCGTCTTCATCATTCACGGTGTTCTTCTCATTCTCGGCAACGTCATCTTTTGCTTCTTTGCCACCGATAAGCCGGCCAAGTTCACTCATACACCGGCAGTTGACACGAATGGAGAAGAGTTGAAAGAAGAAGAGATTCCCGAGAAACAACGGTATACATTATAAGGTTTTGAGGAAAAGCAATTCATACGGATATATACATATTTACTGGTTGAATATCGGTGATTGAGGAAAATGTTGTTGCTCGCTTTTCTAACATCACTAATTGCACTGTCTACTCCTTAGAATACTCATTTATTACTTAAGATTACTGTACCAGAAAGAGCTTGAGGAAAGAGCTACTGTCAAATGTCATTTTCTGCTCAAGTGTCATTTTCTACTTAGGCTACGGTGAACTACCGTGACCTAGGTAGAGTGTCATTTTAGCTACCGTTTCTTAAATGCACAATAGTTACTGTAACCAATTGAAAACTGGTCGTTATTTGAAAAGTATCAGACTACTGGATACGGTAGCTAAATTGTTATTTAGAAGATTTCGTTTTAAAGCAAGTCAGGCTCTTAAAACACTAGCTTCCGTATCCATTTAGCTATTGGCTGAAAAGTCTGTACTAGTTAAAGATCAAGTATATAGTAACCCTGGTACTAGTTACAGTAACCTAGTACTAGTTACATTAACCTAGTACTAGCTACAGTGACCTAGTACTAGCTACAGCGACCCTAGTACTAGCTACAGCAGCCTAGTACTAAGTACAGTGATCCTAGTACTAGCTACAGTGACCTAGTACTAGCTACAGTAACCTAGTACTAGCTACAGTAGCCTAGTACTAGCTACAGTAACCCTAGTACTAGCTACAGTAACCTAGTACTAGCTACCGTAATCCTGTTACAATAATTCCCTTGTATTTCCTCTTTCTTCTCTGGCAAGAAGATCCAGATAGCTCAATGGTTAGAGCATTTGCCCTGAAAGCTCCAGAAAGCAAAAACCTCGAGGGTTCAATCCACTCTCTGAAAATCTTTCTTTCCCATCTCTTACTTTACTTTATTACCTTGCCGGGTAAATACCTCCTCTATTTTACGCCCTTTTCTACCGTATCCCAAAACCCATCACCGTCACTTTCGTTGTCCAAAAAAAAACCAAAAAGAGCTTCTCACAAACTCAACGAAAAAGAACCCTCGATGTGCTTCGTTGAGCTTTACTTTACACATAATACTTAAAGATTTCACTTAACTTGTCTGGATGTCTGAATAGTCCACGAAATAGATCTCTAGCAGTAAAATATCGTCGCCCTTTTGCTAGATATCTAGCTGATAGCTGCTAGATATCAAGTACTGTACCCGTTTTCCTATTTCGTGGATCATCGAATCACCGTTCCCCTCATTCATTCTCTGTGCATGATGCTTATACGGGTGTTTGTGTTTTTCGAATAAATTCTATTTCTTTAAAATTTTCAGTAAATTTTGTGTAAATAAATTGGAAAAAAGACTACAGCACAAAAGACAGGCACAATTCGATGCAAAAGTTCAGCAACAATTGAAAAATGGACTTTGAATGGCTGTTAAATAAGTGGCGTTTACCTTTTCAGACGCGGTTTTCTATGGAAAATCTCTTCTGTCTGCGTTTTAGAGAAAAGCCAGAGCAAAGCTGAGTGCTGGCTGCTCACCTTGTCTCTTCAGCTTTCCTTTTTTCAACAAAACCTTTGCCGGTATAGCTGAATGGTTAGGAGTCTTGTATCCTAGTCTAGCTAGGAGTCTTGTATCCTAGTCTAGCTAGGAGTCTTGCATCCTAGTCTAGTTAGGAGTCTTGTATCCTAGTCTAGTTAGCAGTCTTCTATCCTAGTCTAGTTAGCAGTCGTGTGTCCTAGTCTAGTTAGCAGTCTTGTATCCTAGTCTAGCTAGGATCCTATCCTAGGATCCACGTCGAGATCACGGGTTCGATCCCAGCCGCTAGATAGCCGATAGCCGCTCTTTTGGATCTTTTTCCATATACATCGGCTTTTCTCTGCAACATCTTTAGGGTATTAGTTAATGGATTTTGTATTTGTTTCTGTTACATTATTCAAGTTGAATAAATGTATACTTTTTTTAAAGCTTTCATATAAAATTTCTAGATCATATTGTCGATTTCTAGATCATTTTATCATCATCATCATCATCTAGATTTCTAGATCAACCTGTGTTAGAAGGCTTTTACATGTCTTTTTTCCAGAGTTCCAGAGTTTCTAGAAAACTTGATGCACAACTTTGAAAATTGTCAGCTTTTCTTTGTTGAGAATCGATTACAAAACGAGTTTTTTTTGGAAAGATTACTGCAAAGTCCAGGTCTCTTTGTCTTACAACAATATAATGAATAAAACTAGTCAAAGGATTCTACGATAATAATCCAATAACTCTTCTACAATACTACAATAGTAGGATAGTTTTTGTCATTTATTTTTATACTGTAGGGAGACAAGAGACTGGGACTTTAATCCTAACAAAACAGGTTATCTTGATATTTGATACAAGCCCCGCCCCTTTTGCCATTGACAACCTGACTTTGAGCGCAAATATCTTGACTTTGAGCTGTCCAATTTAGATATTTTTTGTATCATTGGATGCACAAAGTCTTTCTCTATCGATTGATACGAAACTATTTGAATTGAACAGCCCAACACCGAGGAATTTGAGCTCAAAGTTAGATTGCCAATGGCAAAAGGGGCGGAGCGTGTATAAAAGGTCTTTCTGCCTCCGCCCCCTTATTAGCAATCTAACTTTGAACTTAAATTTCTTGGTGTTAGATTGTCCAATTTAAACATTCTTGGTATCATTAGATGCGCCAAGTCTTTCTCTATCGATTGGTAAAAAAACTATTTTAATTGAATAGCTCAACACCGAGGAATTTGAGCTCAAAGTTAGATTGCCAATGGGGAGAGCCAAAACCTCAATCTTTTAAATCGGTAAATCGAAATGGCACTTCACCCAACAATTTCGCACTCTATGTGAACTAAAAACGTGCAAAAAGCTGGGCAAATTCTATGTGCTTTCCTAACTAAAATATTTAGCATCTAACAATAGTAACAACAAAACATCAACAACAAAAGTTTAACTTTATTAAACCATGTTATTAGTCAGATAGACCAACATGCGAATAGTGTAAATCGAAAAAAATCAAGAAATTTCCAGATTGGTCAACGGTTCTTCACATTAATTCGACGGAAAAAGCTGGATGAATTCAAAAATTTTAGCTATTCATTGTTTTCTTCTAAAATTTGCATAAGCTTTTCCGAGATTCACTATTGCTTTGAAACTTTCCTTTTCTTTCCAGTTCTTCCTTTCCAGTTCTTCCTTTCCAGTTCTTCCTTTCCAGTTCTTCCTTTCCAGTTCTTCCTTTCCAGTTCTTCCTTTCCAGTTCTTCCTTTCCAGTTCTTCCTTTCCAGTTCTTCCTTTCCAATTCACTTATAGTTAGTACACTGAAACATTCCAGTATCTCACTTTTTTCGATACTTTGATAGGTTTTTCTATGAAGATTTCCAATGATGCGCTGAACAAAAATTATTTTTGATATGCTTTGGGCTTAAAAACTTCCATTTGATCAATAAATGAATATTCGAAATCGGTTTTGAAAAGAGAAAAGCTTCAGTCAGTTTTGGGGATTGTTAAAAATATCGAAAAAGAAAAGAAGAGCCGAATTTGCCAATTGATTCAATTTAATCAAATTTTTTTGTGTGCCTGCATTAAATCTAATCTAATTAAATCTAATTCTGATTAAATTTAGCATTCTGTCATTTTATAGGATGAAAGGCTTGAACCGACTGATGGTGAGAATGAAGATATTCCCATTTTCGCTACCTTGAAGTTAATTTTATCGTCTTATCGCCTTGAAATCTCATAAAGCGCAAAAAGGAGCAAATTTTTAGAAACATAACGGAAAAATTGGATCATGACCCTTTATTCCGGAAAGTTTCCTTTGATAATCTGATTTCGAGCAATCCTTTCGACTTAAAGCTTTTTCTAAAACGTGTCAATTTCTCGAAAACTGCCGTAACCAGCTTTTTAGAAAAGTCGAATGTAGACTAACAAAATACAGTTTTTAAAAAAAGCCTTAAATTAAACAAACAAAAACATTACGAAATACGAAAACGTTTGGTTTACTATGTTTATAATTTGACATTGCAATTGTGTCACTGGATGGGTCCTGCGTTATTTTGGCTATTTAGGGACCCAAGAGCATCAAAGCCTCAGCCTCAGCCCGAGCTCAGCCCAAAGCCCTTCAGCCCACGAAATTTTTGGTCCCGCGCCGAAGGACAACAGCGGGACCGTCCAAAAATTGATTTTCGGGTCTTAGGGAAGGCCCTACGTAATTGTAATGAGTCGTTTCCACAGGCCAATCCGAGTATACCTAGCCGGGCCGTGCGCCAGACGGCACGCGATTACGCGCGCGCTCAAAGAACATTTCAACGATTCCTAGTTGGTTAGGTTAAACTTTCATAATTTTGTTTCTAATATTTTTCCAAGAATACTTTCAAATTTAGAATCAGAAACGGCTAATTGTGATAAAAATTTTAAATCTAATCCATGATTTCAATAAAAGAAAGCAAAGATTTCAGTGTTTTGCACAATTTTGATTTTTGCGTTTAAACAAGCGTTTAAACGCATCTCCACCGGGCTAGTCGAAATGTAAAATACATTTAAAATTGCGATACTGGTACGATAAAGACTCATTCATGTCTTAAAAAAGCCTCAAATTTCAAAGTGAAACTTATTAGACAAACAAAGACAACAAAACAAAGATAACAAAACAAATTCCCTGGTAGTGTTGGAAAGGACAAGGTTTCTAATAAAACACACCTTTGAAAAGCTCAATAAGCTGCTCTTCCACGAGTTCTGTGAAGTCTTTTCCATCGCATGAAATGCTAATTTTTAAATAAAGCTTCTAATGCTAATTTTGAATGAATGAGACGGAATGAAGCCTCGATAGATCATCAGAAATATCGAGACTTCCATAGAATAGAGGTATTGAGAGCTGTTACTCACAATTACTCAGAATAGAGGTATTGAGAGCTGTAAACCATAGCAAAGAGCTGTTACTCACAATAGATTGCCGGTTTGACGACGATTTTCCAAATTTCTTTGTTTTTGAGTGAACCGGACATTAGGCTTAAGTAAAAGATTCATAGATCAGAGAAAATTTTGAAAATTCAGCCAAATAACGATGACAAAAGTATGGTAAATTTTCAAATTTCAAAAGAAATCATGGTTATTTCCTCGGAGTTGATAAGAAAAGAAAAAAGAAAAGAAAAAAAGAAAAGAAAAGTGTGTGTAAACGCAGAAAAAAAGAGACGGATGAGACTTATGGTTAAGTTTTTAAGTTTTTAACCATAATTTAAACTATATGTCGTAGCCGTTTTAACCATTTTAACCATTTACTTAAGTAAAGTTTTGCGAAAGAGAAAACAAATGGGTTTTTAGGGATTGAATTGGCAGTTGTTGAACCAGTTGAACTGGCAATGTGAAAGATAAAACTATTGGGTTGATGCATAATTATCCGGACTTCTTTTATAAATGATTTTATTTAACAAAAAATAACATAAATAGTTAGAAAAATATGTTTAATTGATTATTCTGGAGCATATTCACCGCCTACATCAATAACTGATTGCCATTTGCTTGGAAGACGATCGATTCCACGAGCGAAGAATAAACGATCTTTGGAGGCAATCCACGCTTTAACATCGTCTATCAAGTCATCCAAATCGTTGTAGATCTTATTTGTTTGCCAATTTTTGAGCGATCGATTGACGTGGTAGTCCGTTGGGGCTTCTCCAGTTCTTTGAGATCGCGAAACGACTCTGCGGCAGACCATCCCTTTTCGAAGTGGTAGAGCATGATATGGCGAAGATGGATATGATTGTCGACACGCATTTTGTTCACTAAAGAATAACGAATATTTAAAAAAATGAAATAGACAAAAAGCTTTCAAAACAAAAAAGATACAAGCACGCAAAAAGAAGTCCGGATAATTATGCATCAACCCAATATATTTCGTAGCCGTTTACGAAATTCAGCCGCTAACGAATCATTCGTTAACGGCTAGCCGTTAAATGTTATAAATTTTATCCCACTTGTTGTGATTAGTTTGCTGATTTGCGTTTTGCATAAATAGAAATCAAAAATTGAAAACAAAAACTCATTTGAATCGAGCCATGTTCGCAGAAGCCGATTACAAATGGTACACGGCTAGCGAAAAAATTTCGATTCGTAATCGGCTAGCCGTTAACGAATTTCGTTAGCGTTAGCGGCTGAATGTCGTAAATAGAGTGTGTTCCTTGCAGACAACGTATTTTCTAAAAAGCGCGCGCCAAGGATAAGCTACCGTAGCCCTATGCTTTGCATCAGCAAATTTTTCAAAATGCAAATGTACATTAAAACCTTGCGCTCTTTTTTTCTATTACTCTTCCCTTAACTCTATTACTCTTTCCTTAACTCTATTACTCTTCCCTTAACTCTATTACTCTTCCCTTAACTCTATTACTCTTCCCTTAACTCTATTACTCTTCCCTTAACTCTATTACTCTTCCCTTAACTCTATTACTCTTCCCTTAACCCTATTACTCTTCCCTTAACTCTATTACCCTTTCCTTAACTCTATTACTCTTTCGCTAAAACTTAAAAATTTTTAAATGCTATTTAAAATTAAAGAAAACATTTAAAATGGGAAAAGTTAATAAACACTATTAAAAAATTATATTATTTACGAATTTACCAGGCCTATTGTCTACATTTGCACTAAAACCATTCCAAAAAAAATTCCACGCCCTAAAAAACCAAAATCCTAAAAATAAAGCGATCCATTACTATATTTTAAGAAAAGTTTGCAAATTTTTTATACCTTTATAGCTTTGCGCGACCTTTATAGCTTTGCTTAAAAAGCGCACCTTTTAGAAAACGCGTTGTCAGAAGTTTGTCGGATCAATTGTCTGACAAATACAAGTTGTCAATGAAAATTTGTCTCACAAATTGTCTGTCAACAAGGAGCACACTCTAATTTAGACATCATACAGCTGAAAAAGTGTTTAGCCAAAGTTTTAAGTTTCAAAGAAAGTCAAGTCATTTATATTAAGTAACTAGTCGTAAACGGCTACGAAATATACAAAAAAGAACAACTAGAAATTTGTAACTGGCTTTAGCTAATTGGTTTTAAGTATTTGAGTTAAAATTTACACAAATTACTCACGACTAGACGTGCACTTTTTCCAGGTTCTCGAATGATTATGATTTTCTCAAGGCTGAGTCAAGTTCTCCTCTTTCCCCGCGTTTTTCATCCAAAACCAACTTTGAATAATCAGTCAGACTAAAGTTTCAGTTGCTTTAAGCTTCTTTTAAACTCCAAAGACTCCACGTTTACGCTTTTCCAGCATTATCCAAATGAAAAACGGCCACAAAACTGTGATGTCACTCGAAAATTTGACCAAATATCATTGCATTGCAAAAGAATCTCCCAAAACTGTGCTCAAAAGTGAGAGAATTTAGCCAAAGTGCGTCCATTCAGCAGTCATTTGTTGTAATTTGTTTGTACTTGGATCTAAAAAAACGAAAAAAGCTTGAGTGTGGGCGTGAGTTGAGGAATCTGTGCCCGATTTTTCGCTGGCATTTGTTTGTGAATCTGTTTGATCAACGGCTCTTTGAATAAGTATAAAATCGAGAGCAATTTCCAATCTAAGAGAATTTCCCCCCGACAACTCCAATGTTTGGATTGGTCTTTGGATTTTTGGCGGTAAGTGCTTCGAGTAACTTTCGAAAGCTCCTAGCTTTTGCTGATGCTGATCTGCTGTGATGCTTTAAAATCTAATCCATGACGGGGAAAGAGCGAAAATGGAGATTACAGTGCACCTATTGATCTTGTGGTTCTGTGGGGCTCACAAAGGATATAAAAAATACCAAAAGGAGATTGATTAGATAAATTTTGAAATAAGAGCTTTTGAAAGCTCCTAGCTTTTGAAAGCTCCTAGCTTTTGAAAGCTCCTAGCTTTTGAAAGCTCCTAGCTTTTGAAAGCTCCTAGCTTTTGAAAGCTCCTAGCTTTTGAATCTCTAATCCTAGCATGGATTAGATTTTAAAGCATCACAGCAGATCAGCATCAGCAGCAGATCACAATTGCTTTAGCCATTTCTGTTTCTAAAGTTGAAAGGATTTATTGAGAAATATTTATTTATAAACAGATTTATGAAAGTTTAACGTTATCAACTCCCGCGTAACCAACGCATAAAATTAAGGAGCTCTTTGTGCGCGCGCGTAATCGCGTGCCGTCTTGGCGCACAGCCCGGATAGGTATACTCGGATGGGCGTCTTTAATTGGCCGATCGCATCCTTCCCTAAGACCCGAAAAGCAATTTTTTGACGGTTTTGCTGTTGTCCCTCGATGCGGGACCAAAGTTTGTGAATGCAATAAAACTTTGATCCTGTTTGATCCCTAAATAGCCAAAATGCCGTGGATCCTAATTGTAGAATCGTAATGGCAATCGCAGGACAGTTGCAATGCAAAGCATTCAGACAGATATTACTACAAAAGTCTCATTCTTTGAAAACAATAATTTGTTCAAACAAGATTGAATTGAAATTCGATTTTACTGCTCAGTAATCGGGTTCATCGATGAAAATTCGCTCGATCGCTCGTTCGCTCGTTGTCAACACCGGTAAGAATGGCGCCTGGGAGCATCCTAAAATGCATCGAAAATAAACAAAGATTGCAAAATGTTTTTTAAACAACAGATATAACATGAGATAAAGTATTGGTGCTATACTTTATCCCTTCGGCGGGGCCAATTTGTAAACGTCGGTTTTTTTCGAACTTGCCACTAGTTTTAAAAGCTTTTCCTGGGGTAATTAATTGCACTGAATCCATTGGAAGCATTTATAAACCATTCTGCACAACTTTTATGCCAGTTTGAGCAACAATTCTGAGTCTTCAAAAGTGGCTCTATTCCCATACTGGGTTTAGAGCTGCGGGACCGAATTAAGAGGCTTAAAACCTCAGTAACTGCTTGAAATAGCTAGAAAGGCTTAAAGTTACTAAGTTACTAAAGCTACAGTTGCTAAAGCTTAAAGAAATACCAAATTAAATCGAAAAGCTCTTCATTTTTGAAAATAAAGAAGCTTTTCTGTGGCTGTTTCAGAGAAATTTGGATCACTCAAGGAATTGATGAAAGTGTTTTGAGTATTTTAGTTATTTTTTTGAATTTCCATTAGAATGAACGCGATTCTTTACGATTTGTACTCTAAAATGGAAACATTCCCTGTCTGGGGCTCAATTTGTTTTTTGTTTCTTGTAAGGCACTTACATTTTGTCCATTAGCAACATTTTCTTTGCTCGAATTTCGAAAACGGAAAAAATATCTCGTACAAATTTGCACACATTACACGGTTGATCGAATTGAAGAAATTTTGCGCATGGAAAAGGGAGAAAAGTTGCTGGGATGAAAAGTTCAACTCTAGTTTGGAAAAAGGATAAAAGAGTCAAGGTAAAAGAATCAAGGTAAAAGAATAAAGGTAAAAGTCACTTTGAGTCACTCTTATCGGAAAGAGGAACTGTAAAAAGCCTAGAATCCAGATTTAGACAAGCAGAGTGTGTCTAAAACAATTTCTTTTGATCAAAAGCTAGACTCCGATCAGACCCATAGAAAGAAGCTTGTGTAAGAAATATTTCTCTACTAGCCTTAGTACTCTCAACTATAGCCAGCTATTTCTTTGTTTAGAGCTATCCTTGCTCTCTCAACTGTACTTTGAATGTGTAAAAAACCGAACCTTTATGCCAACTTGCCGACGAGTCAGAGCTTTACATTTTACACGAGCAAGCACGTGTAAAAGCACGTGTTACAAAGCAAACTTGGCCACAATTTTGTGGATTTAACTTGCAACAATTGAAAAAAAGAAGAGAAACAACAAATTTCATCGCTTAAATGGGGGAAAACATCTATGTAAAGATATTTAGTTGAACACGGGAAGGCTACAGGATTGAGGGCATATAATGGAGACGTAATTTGAGTATACTTTTCCCTAACTTGTGGGGACACCTGGGTCCAGCAGAAGCCAAACTTGAAACTTGTCTGATCTACTTGACCTACAGCACGATTGTGGGACATTTGATACGCTTCCCACCCCTTTGCCATTGGCAATCTAACTTTGAGCTCAAATTCCTTGGTATTGGGCTGTTCAATTTAAACAATTTCTGTACCAATCGACAGAGAAAGACTTGGCGCATCTAATGATATCAAGAATGTTTAAATTGGACAATCCAACACCAAGAAATTCGAGCTCAAAGTTAGAATGCTAATGGCAAAGGGGGCTGGGCAAATATCAAATGTCCGATGTTATCAAATGTCGATGTTGTTGTCCTGTTGGAACATTTTCTAGGAGTTTCACCAAAACTACGAACCAGATTTGGCAAGTTCTTGTGATTCTTGCGAATGATTGTGAGATATTTTAACCGAAAGCCAAAAATTGATTCTAATACGAGTCTCTCCACTCAATAAGTGTCGTCTGCGGTAAAAATGACTACAATACTGAAAGCTCAGATCAAATTTCCATGCAGAAAGCATGCATAAAAATCTGTTACCCGATCACCAGTCGATCACCGTTCCAATAAAGGAAATAGTGAGCTTCCAAATTCGCATTCAAAATCAAAAAGCTCAGCTCCAATTATTTCTAGATTTTCTCTCTATAAATCTTCCACGAGAGTATATTTTGTGACGGAGATTTGAAAATTTCTCTCTTTTTTTGTGAGAGATTCCCCAAACTCATCGGGTTTCTTTTTTCGGTTTTTTCACAGCCGATTTTGTGGTGTATTTTGTGATTGTGATTGTTTGAGAGATGCCTATATAAATGACAACCAAACTGACACCAAATTTCAATGAGCTTAATGTTTTCTTGATCAAAAGATATGATGTCTACGAGCTTTGTGCCCTTCTAGCGCGATGTATCTTGTGACTGAACCTTTATCTCATATGTGCTTTATGTCAGAAATGCAAACGTATCCTTTCTGGTGCACTTGGCTGGTCCTTTGATGTACTTATTTTTTCCTAAGCCCGTATGTTACAATCTTGCGGAAAACTAGGTGCTTTCGCGTATGCTACAGGGTGACCACGACTTATGGCGATACCTTTCTTGGAAAAGTTGCTGGCAAACACCTGTCTTCTTATCAAAGTGCCAAGTGTTATATAGAAAAATAAAGCCCTTCATCTTGGCTAGATTTATCTATTAAAAGTTTTCCAATTGGAGTCATACAACTCATTTTACAAGCACTTGAATGAGCGCAAGTCGGCCTCTCTCCGGTGATCTGCCATTTTTCACACTTTTCTTAATAAAAAATCGTTAAAAAGTTTTCTCGATATTTATTTTGTGGGAAAATAACATTTAATATCATTTAATAGTAATAAGAATAACAGAACACTCTTTTTTCAAACTTTAATAGCCAGAATTGGGATAGATTTCTGGGTTCATTTGAAAACTCCGCAAAAAAAAAGGGAAAATTGAGCTTCGAATATCCATTTGACAAGAGGATCTTGTTGTATAAGCTTCTCTAGCATTATATTTTTGTTGAATAATACTTTTAAAGTAAAATACCACAAGTTTGATTGAAGGAATCCATTTCTAGATGAAAATATTGTGGTCAAAAATGGCAGCTCGCGGAGAGAGACTTGAGCTCATTCAAGAGCTTGTAAAATGAGTTGTATAAGTCCAATCGAGAAGTTTTTTGTAGATAAATGATGCCAAGATGAAGGGCTTTATTTTTCTATATAACACTTGGAACTTTGGTAATCAGTCAGGCGTTTGTCAGCAACTTTTCCAAAAAAGGTGTCGCCCTGTACACTCGCGGAAACTTTCCGCTAACGGAAAAAGTTTCTGCAAAAGCTTTCCGCGCGAAAATTCGGGGCCGATTTGGGATCTTCAAACTGTTTATCTTTTTCTATAAGATTCCCTTAATCATTTGATTGTTTAATGTAACAATAATGTAGTCTGAAATGCAGAGAAACGCAAAAAAAAGCTCTGGAAACTTTCTCCTGAGCATACGGGCTCAGATCTTTCTCCTTGTAACGTCAAGTTCTCAGATACAAACTGATTGAAAACCTATAAAAATGGTTGCTGAAAATATGCGTGACAATGAGACGATTATCGACACGGTGATTACATGGGGAATGGTGGAAGGAGATCTGCAAAAACAGTTCAAGTGAGGAATTGGGTTTTAAAAGAAATTAAGAGATTTAGCTAACAATTGTAGTTATCTTCGTAGGAGCTTTCATTAACAAGTCTTTCTGGATTGAAAAACATAACTTCAAGTTTAATTGACCTTTTCAGAACAAAAGCTCGAACAGGACCCGCTCGTAGTGCGAAACTGTTGAGTGGGGTGAGTTCAGAATCGAAATTGTGAATGTTGTGAATGTGAATGTGAAATGTTATAAGTTATTCAGGGATACGTCTCAAAGAGTGCTCTTATCACATTCGATTGGAGTGACGAACAGGAAAGGTACTTAAGGACTTTAAGACAGCAAAAAACGCAAAATAGATATTAGTTTAGCTTTAAACTGATACCTAATGGCAAACTGTTTAGCTTTGAAATATCAGTTACCGTAAATCCTCTATTAGACTTGCATGCCGCTCCACTTTTCGATGCGTTTCCGTTTTCCACTCTCGAGTTGTTTGAGAAGTTCTTCTTGTTTTCTCCAATCTTGAATCGACGATCGTGATACTCCAAAATGTTTGGCAGCTCCTTGGGTTAAGTTCTGCTTGGCGTATTTGACCACTTCAAGGTTGAATTTCACGAGCCGCTTTGCTCCTCTTGCACTCATCAAATCCTCGGCTTTATTTGAATCCTTTCCTCGTTCGGTCGTTTCACTCGCTTCTTTATCTTCTCCGTCGTCACTTCCATCGTCATCAAAGCTCTTGTTTAATTCTTGTTCATAATCTTGATGATCACAAAATTCGGCAAAAGCATCGCTCATTTCATCCAACGATCGCTCGAGTGATTGTTTTTTGGTCGTCTCTTCGATTGGCATCTTCATCATCTAAAAAGAAAATTTAATAAATGTAGCATAAAATTAAAAAAAGAAAGAAACACGCTAAGTTTTCAGCAAAAAAAAAATAAAAAAAGCAGAATCAAACAAAGTCGAAAAGAAAAGATATTCAGTCGTTCAATTAAAAGCTTTCAAATATAGGTAGTATTAATTTTTCATTTGTAAATTCGCGGTGCCATTCTATTTTTCGATACCCTTTTGAGTGCCGTTCTAATAGAGGATTTACGATAACTAGTCCAAAATGCTAAACTGCCTATCATATTACAAAACTTACAAAAGTCTTTTTCAGATTACCCAAGCGCGGAATGATCAAGATCACGTCGAGTGCCGGGATGAAAGCTCTTTCCGAGTTGAATGGCGCCTTTCTGCGGTACGATGAAATGGCGACATGCGTGAGTTTATTGAAAAGAATTACAGTAATGAAAAGTACAACGCATTCAAGTATAGAAATGTTTCAGTTCTCTGACACCGAGTACAACTTCTACAAAAATGCGCCACAAGTCGGTATCCTCGATGAGATTCCGGTGCCGAATTTCATCGGTGGTCGACCCTTTGGAGTGGATGGAGTGGAAGCAGGTTGGGGGAAAAGATATTAGAAATTAAATCTTGGCAAAGTAAGATTAAAATATTGACAAAGTAAGATTAAAAGGCTCTATAATGTATCAAAAAATGTCGTAATCTAACTCAAATCCCTTTTTCATCATCAACCTTTTCCACTTTCAGGTTACACAATCTTGGAATTCCTCGAGAACGTCCACAATCGTCATGTTTTCCACGCGCTTTCTCCAAAAACGGCTACTGAAGCTGTGAAAATGTTGGCAAGAATTGCCGCATACTGTAAGTTAGACAGATTTTACTTTTAAATTGTGAAATTAAGAATTTAAACCAATTTTTCAGCTCTTCGTCACCGAAAAGAGGCGCGAATTCTCGCAGAGAACGAAGTCTTCGAAGAGTTTTTCTCTGATTTTACAAGAGATCAGGTTTGAGGAGATTTTGAAAACATTTGTTAAATAAAACTTTAAAATAATATTTACTTAAAATTTCAGAGAATTCAAGAGGGTTTCGAGGCGATAGAAAGTCGATGGCCCGATCTGAAACCAGCCATCGACGTGATGAGAACCGAATCAAAAGTGTTCACATCGGCAAAGAATTTCAAGAATGAACTTGTGAAAGCGTGTGAGTTCTTCAAGACTATACCACTCTTAGAGCTGTAATTGAAATACGAATGACATTGAGGGCTTCAATGAGTTGAAACTAGCTGCGTTTCATTGCAAAAATGCATTCTTGGGTTTAGGCAAACACGAGACGATTGTACACGGGGATATGTGGCCCGGAAATATCCTTTTCAATAAATCAAATGCAGGAGATTACAGTATTCGAGTGATTGTCGATTGGCAGGTTAGCTTGATTGATTTAAACCAGCTAAAGTTAAAGTTACTTTGCCGTGTTAGGCTGTCCAGAAAGTCTTTTCGTTCCTTTTCGTACTTCTGTTTAAGAACAACAAATGCACTAATTGAACTACGGTTTTTTGCATTAGAAAGGCCAATTATTTTTCTGTAAAATAACATAAAAATGGATTTAACATGCCTTATTTCTGGAATTTTTGGAAAAAACTGGAAAAAAACTCCTCTCGGCGCCAATTCTTTTGCTTTTTGCTCCAAAGATTATTTTTTGCTGCATAGAAGCAACAAAGCTTCTGTCACTTTAATATTAGGTTGATGCATAAGTCTTTTCGTTCCTTTTCGTCTGCCCTTTCAAGCCAACAAATGCACGAATTAAACTACGGTTGATTTCATTAGAAAAACCAATTATTTTTCTACAAAATAACATTAAAACGGGTTTAAAAATATTTTATGCCTGGATTTTCTTGAGAGTATGAAGTCGAGTAGTCAAAAAGAGCGACGACTTAATGATACGGTTTAGACACTTTAGCTAAGGAAACCTATCTTGGTGTCAATGGATAAAAGATAGAGCACAAAAAGTTTGAATGATCGAAAAGAAACGAAAAGACTTTTTGGACAGCCTAATACAAAAACTACCGTAATCTGGCTCTATTTTCTCTACTTTTGTATCTTCGTGAACCTTAAAAGAATCGAACAAATGGATAAATTGGATAAAACTAAAAGCTCAATAGTTTTAGAAAACCATTATTTGAGATGTCACTCCATTTTCAGACAATGCACATCGGAAACCCAATGGAGGATCTCACTCGACTTTTGTCCACCGGATTGGGTGCTGATGAGTACAGAAATAGGTAGACCAGCTAAAAATACCATTAAAACAATTTTCAGGAGAGATTTCTATTTGGAGACCTACTATGAGACGCTAAAAGCCGAAACGAAAGGGGAAGAGCTTCCATGGGATTCGCTGGAAAAGGTGAGTCCAGCTCCGATTGACTGTTCAGTCTAAACGAGATCGGAAATGATTCATCAATCTTTTAGCTAATTGAAGACTACGAGAAAGCATATCCGTTGATCGCAATTGTTTGGATTCCTCCATTCATCCTTGTCCTAGCTGATGATCACATTCGAGAACATTCGGATGGCGGTGAGTTGGATTCAATTTTTGTACACATTCTGGCAATTTTCAAGCATGTAAACAGCAAAAAATTTAGTTTAGCAACTTTCTCAAATTTCAATACTTTCAGAAGACGACGATGTTCGCCTAAAAACCTTTCTCGACAAGTACAGACTGATGATTGAAGAATCCGCAAAATATATCAAAAAGTGGAAATTATAAGCTTTGCCATTTAGCTATTCAGTTGGCGTTGTATAAAATTTTACATAATTGATTTAAAACGACGCTCTCAATACCAAACTCTGAACTAAAAATATGCACAAAAATTTACAACAAGATCTAAAAACATCAAAGTATTGGCGTAGTAAAGTAAATGATTGGCGTTACATAACCACGTTGTCGAAAACTGGACCCCCGTTTGCCTTGCCTTGATTCCTAAAAGAAATAGAGTCGTTTAGTTATCGTTACTTTTTCAATTCTTGGAACTACAAAATTTAAGGTTCTTAGATTTGCACAACAAGTTCGACTTGATTTAAAGAATTTTAAAACCAAGAAAACCACTTTTGTGAAGTCGCTGTGGTCATCAGAGTGACAACTGGCGGCAAATCGAGACGCACACTTCCGATAAACCTGAAAATTAGTTGATAAATTGTCGACTATTGCAAAGGAAACCTGTGCTGTAAACAATCCTTGGCCGTGTAGCGATTCTCGGGCGAATAAACAAGCATCAGCTAAAGTATCAAATGTAAAATTATGAAGCTAACTATAAGAACTGACCTTCAGTAGATCAAATCCATCTTCATTCAATGGTCGAAGCTCAGTCTAAAAAGGAAATCTGGGCTTATAATATGTTACTTTTTACCTTAAAGTTCTTTTCCTCGTAGTACCATTTGGGGAACACTGGTTGATAGTCCTGAAATCGTTCGATATCCGGCCAAACCTAAAGAAAGTTTTAATTTGCATAAAAAGCTTTAAAGTACCTTGGTGTCCGGTGTGCCCAACATGCGAAATATGCTGAAGAGTTGATCGATCTCCGAGTCACCAGTGAAGAGATTTTTTCCGCGAATCATCTAAACTTTTCAACAAATTTAGAATATTTAAGTCTTTATCTTCTTGAAAATCCATTAAGTTACTTTTTAATTAACGTTGGTTTGATGACTAACAATCGTGAAATAATGTAGAGTTGGCATCACAAACCATAGTTGAAAAAAGCATTACCTCTGCAAAAATACAGGCTAAACTCCAGATGTCTACACCAGTCGAATAATATTGAGCGCCGAGTAGAATCTAAATAAAAGCTGTAAAAAAGTTAGATTACGCTTGTGATTATATTTTTTTGGTGAGCTTTAGTTGCATTATGCGCCAGGATATTCTATTCAACCGAGTGTGCAGAAATAAACATTATCTGTCATATGCTTCGGTTGACTCAAACCAAATCACAATTTCGTTTTATCATGTTTTAGAAATAAGCTAAATGATCAGACAATGTTATTCCCGGAATCAGAAAGGACAAATCCTATCTTCTGTAAAAATAACTGAAGTTTCATTTGGCCATAAAAACACAAAACTATGGTACTTCGAGACTGATTCTTTGACTAAAGTATCGCACATATGTGGCAAATATCAGTCATTCATTGCAATGCCAATCCAATCACAGCTTTCAAATGCTGGTTCCAATGCTGGTTCCAATGCTGCACACCTCTGGAGCGCGATACCATAACGTGACGACTTCATGAGTGTAGATTCGGCTGGGAATTGAAATCGATCTCGCCAATCCAAAATCCGCTAACTTTAATATGCCTAAAAGTTGATATTTTAGTATGAAAGAAAAGTTTACCTCTATCATTGACGAGAATATTCTGTGGTTTTAAATCCCGATGAATGATCCGACGAGTATGACAGTAAGCGAGCGCTTGTAGGAGTTGAAAGAGGAAAGACTAAAAATAAAAATTGAGTGTCGCATTATCTTTACAAGATTTATATCTATCAGTTAAAAACCAAGGGGCTATAGTAGTTGGGGAGGGGCAAAATTTTTTTCGCCAACTTCGCCGACTTTTTGCACCCAGGGGTTTTTGACTATGCTGAATCGATTGGTGATGATTTTACACAAAATTTCGCAACTTTTAACAACGTTTATAACAAATACTGAAAATCTGATGTACTTATTCTGGGATGAAATGGCCAAAAAGTACCCATTGTCTTGAGTCATTTCCTCGTTGGTAGCTTGCTGACATTTTGTTATTGTTATTTTTGTTGCGATTTGTTATAACGTTATTAAAATGTTGTAAAATGTTGTGTGAAACCATCAGCAATCGATTCAGCATAGTCAAAAACCTCTGGGTGCAAAAAGCCAGCACATTTGGCGAAAAAATTTTGCCCGCCTGCCCAACCACTATCCCCCCAAAACCAAAAATATTTTTATTATTCTAGCAGACATTTACTAATTTAGACAGCTTTAGCCCATTGCGTGCAACTTCACGTTCACAGCATTTATATTAAAAATCTCCAACCTTTGCGTATTCAAGCGGAAGCCGATGATTTGGAATCGTTTCTAGTAACTTCTTCAAATCTCGATCAATGAATTCGAAGATCAGATAAAGTTTCATACCTAAACAAAGAAATTTTTAAAAGAAAAGTCATAAAGCTCTACCTGATTGAATCACATCGTAAAGCTTTACGATATTACAATGAGTTAGAGTCTTCAGAAGTGAGATCTCTCGAATACACGTGCTGGGTACACCTTCGGAATCTCTAAAAAGAACAGGCTTTAAAAGATTTGTTGAAATAATTGATTTTCCTTCTGGTTAACTAAAGAGAACCGTTCGCAAAAGATTCAATTTGGTTTTCGTGCTCACTTCTTCGGAAAATTTAGCAAAAATAGTTGCAACGGAACACGAATAAAGTGGCGATAACCAAGGAAAAGTTCCGAAATTTCCGTTTTAAATAAGCCCACAGCCGATATCAAATACATCGTTCAATTTCCACTACTTTTGCAACAAAATCAAAAGCTCGAACCTATCCAAAGTGATCCTTTTGAGTGCGACAGGAGTGCCGGTCTTTCGATGTACTGCTCGAAACACGACCCCATACGTTCCTTCGCCAATTTGCTCACAATCCACGTAGTCGCCCAAGGCGGTCATTCAACCAGCCGAGTCTCGACCTAAGCAAAACAAATTGATGGGGTTGAATTTATGATAAATGAAAGAACAAAGCAAACAGCAACAAAAACAGTGCCATTTTACTTGAGGAAACCGCTTCAAACGCTCTACCGAAATGGTGTTGTTAGGTTGCGTTTTAACATCACGCAAAAGTCCCAAATTCAGGTATTATTTATGGGCGAAAAGAGAGTCGTTTTCTTGAATTTCACTTATTCAAGCTCAATTTCCGAAGTTCAAGCGATTTCCCTGTCATTTTAGCCGAAAAATCTTGATACGTGGCTTTTTCTGCCAGCTAAGGTAACAAAAATCTATCAAAGAGTGCTAAAATAAAAATATGCATTAGATAATTGGGCACTACGCCGGTTGGGTGGGCAATTTTTTTCTTCAAAACGACCTTTTCTGGGGTAGTTTTATGCGCAAATTCCGAAAAAGACAACGAGAACTTGGAAAAAGACGTTTTAAGCCGAAGTTCGGGGCTCCAAAGCTCCAGGCTCCAAGTTTTGGGGCTATAGTGTACTTCCCTATATGGAGCTCAAGTTATCGACTATTGGGGCACTTTTCAAGGTCAAAACTAGAGCCAAAACCATTTTTAACCACTAAATATTCACTTTCTATCTTAAATTGACTGGTAGAAGCAAAAGAAATTGAAAAAATATTTTTTGGGATTTTGGCCGATTTTGACTTATGTGGGGGACCACATAATCGAAATTTGAAAAATTTTTGCTCCAATTTGATCAGAAATCAAGTCAGTAGGTTAAGTTATGCTAAAGAAGTGTTTTGGCTTCAAAGAATGTTTTGAGAGACCATTGTGAGGCCTATCCCTCTCTCACACTGTATGAGCATGCACTTTGGAGCCCCGAAATTCGGCTTAAAACGCCTTTTCCCAAGCTTTCGTTGTGTTTTTCGGAAGCTACGCATAAAACTACCCTAGAAAGAGTGGTTTTGAAGAAAAAAAATTTGCCCCGCCCGACCGGCGTAGCTTGCTATACCGTAACTATTATAGCTCATACACTTTTATCTACCTCTCATTCAAATTGACAAGTCACTTGCTGTAAATACAACTAAAGCTTACTCTATAATCAAAGCCTCATCTTTATAGCCCTTTTTGTCTTTCAATTGCTGTCTTTCAATTGCATTGAATTTGCTCGAGAATCCGAAATTTGATACCGATTAGGTTGGCAACATGTGATTTGCACTTTTGAAGCAAGATTGAGCAAACGTTAAGACATGTCATTTTATTGACTTGGGTCAGCTCATAAGGAACCCATTTTCCAACGCGACTTTTTTTCCCAAATTGATGCAAATCATTCTCAATAGTCGTACGAGATGCCTCAAAAAAAATTCTGCTAGCTCACGAACAGTTAGTGTTGGATCGTCCTCAATAATTTGAAGCAAATATTCGTTGGGCACTTTTGACGGAGGTCTACCCTTTGGCTCATCGTGGAGGCTTTCAACACCATTTTGCAAACGTTCAAACGTTCTGACATTGACGCTCACTAAGACTATCATATCGAAAAATACTCATAATGATGCGATGAGATTCAGCCGCCGATTTTTCTTGTTTAAACATCGTAGAATAAAGCAGCTCAAATATGAAATTTTTTGTCCTCCATTTTTGTGGCAAAAATTGAACGGCTAGATTGGGGATTTAAATGTTGTTTATGTAAAAGATTTGTAGTTTATATTTATGAAAAAAAAGCGAGAAAGTATTGCTTTTCAGGCTTGGAAAATGCAAAAAATAGCAAACCGACATTCCATTATTGCCAACCTAATATTTAGAATCAGATTCTTCCTTTTTTTTGCCGAAATTGTCTTTCAAAGACTCTTTATTTGCTTTATCTTTATTCAATTAAAGAAATTGTCTCATAGATAAGTGAAAGAGCAAAAATAAAGAAATCTCATTGCTGGCTTGTGCCAGGCTCAAGCCGATGATCGATCTCCGGATTGGTCACTTGCGCCAACCTCTCTCGATAATCGCCATTCATGAAGAAGTCCATTGCCTAAAATTCAAGGGATTTACAGCTACAGTTCTTTTTCGGAGCAACCTGATTTTAAAATCAGATTCTTTTAAGCATGATTATTGAACTAATACATTTATGACACTTTTTTTCCATTAAAAGTCTCTCACTTGTCTCACTCGCATCGTGTCCGGGTTTCCTGCTGCAAAATTGGAAATGTTCAGCTGGGGCAGTGGATTGGAGGCCGCATCGTGACTAAAACTTTATTATTTTTAAAGATTTACCGCAAGCTCTTTAGACTTAAAAAGATTCACTCTAGATAATAAACTCACATGAAAAGAACTCGAATCTGAATGATATCCGCATCTTGCACAACGAAACACGAGGGCATTTCTTTGTATTTCGATTGATTGTCCACCACTGAATCGAGGATTTAAAGGGATAAGCAAGATTGACGAAAATACGTAATCATCGTACAATTAGAGTTGTAAAAGCCTAAAGTTCAAACCCTCAACAAGCGCCAAACAGAAAGTGCCATTATCGAGAAGCCGATTCTTCTCAAAATGTTGCTGATCTTGGCATGAGCTCATCATATTGTACTGTTGAGTCACATTCTGGAAAGCATTTTTGATAATTGGTGTGAGAATTTGTCATTTCTCATCGAATTCTTTTATAGTTTATGTTTCGAACTTCAACGTTTCCAACTCACAAATTGCATCATTGGATGTGGATAATTTTTCTGCGAATACCCTTGCGATGTCATTGCATTTTTGCCAAGATAGATGCCTAGAAATGGATTTGAAAATGAAATTTCGAGAACTAAAACCAGCTCCATGCGCAGCTCCGACAAGTTGATACACTGTCCCACTAGCGACCATCAGACCTTCGGACAGGATCTTGTACCAATTCTCCACGGGACTTCCACTGAAATTGGGAGTAAACTCAGTAGCCGATCTACTCAATAGCCGATCTACTCAATAGCCGATCTACTCAATAGCCGATCTACTCAATAGCCGATCTAATCAATAGCCGATCTACTCAATAGCTGATCTAAATATTCGATATGTGCTAAAATGATTAACCAAATCTATCTCTAAATGAGTAGCGATACAAGAAGAAGGCGCGACAAGGAAATATGAATGCGGTTTAATTGAGAAGGAATGGGTTAGACAGGTTTTTCGGTGACACAAAAGTACGAATTCGTCGCCCTCACAAAGTGAAAGAGGCCAAACGGCGAACATATCAGGCTGGCCGGAAAGTCTTGTCAGCTTTTTTAAAGGTCACTTTTTGAAGTGAATAATAAACCAATCGATCTATGGCTTTTTTTATTAAAAAGTTCTATTATTTATTTACCAATTGCCCTTTAAGAAATGCTGAAAAGCTCGCGTTAGCTATTTTTTTTAAAAGGTTTGAAGTCGAGCAGTCAAGAACGATGAAATTCAAAGTTCTGATTTGAGCACCTTTTGTCACAGAAACCTATTTTGGCTACTTGTCCGCAAAGGCCAGAAAACAAGTCCGGACCTGGTTTCAGCATTGCTTGACCTGGCCAAGGCTGGCCCACAATAACCTTGCCAGAAGCTAGGCCTGAGCCTGGCATGGTTATTGCATTATACTGTACTCTAGGCCTTACTGCCTTAAGTACAGTACCCACTACAGTACATGATTGCATTCAATCCCTTCACCTACTGAAAAGCGAAGAAACTTCGTCCACCAGCTTCCTCCAAGCATTTCTAAAATTCTCCTTTCAATGACATATTTATTAGCAAACCTGAAATCGTTCTTCTTTCTCAGTGGGAACGGGAGGTAAAACGTATTGGTGTTCGGTTTGAACGGATTTTACCCGGAAACGAGGTGGGAGGCGACACATTACGGGTAAACGATTTGATAACCTGAATTGGTTGATTTTAAAAACACTTTGATCTTTTTCTTTTTTCTTTCAACGATTCGAGAGTCATAAGCCTTCATTTTTTTGAATTTTACCATAAAAGAAGATTAGCTTTGTCCGTTGTGTGATTGTTTTGCCGAAAGCGCTCGAAAGTGGCCCAAGTTGAGAAAACGCATCGAGTGCAATAGCCGATCAAAGCTGCGTTCAGATGTTGGATTTCACTGAAAATGAACTGTAGAGTAGATTGGAATGGATTGGATTTTCTAAAAATTGCATTTATCATTGTCTATGGGGTTGTCTTTAAAGGAGGGGCGGGGAATAATCGCGACCGGATAACCATAAAAATTTTTTAAGGCAACCACCTGTTTTTATATCTTGATATTGTTAATTTTATTATAAAAAGAATAAAAATCACCCGGCTAGAGTGATTTTATGGGTTTACGAATTTTTGGAGACGTTGCAAGGCGCGCGTCGTTCATCTACAAGGGTAGTGCGAAAGTAAAGCAAAAGTCACGCACTATGTTTTCTTTTTGTTTTCTCTAGACTTCTGATCTATATTTTTGGTTTTTTCCTCATCATAAAATATATTTTTAGGGTTTCTAAACAAAATGGAGGCGGAAGAAGAGCTAAACGAAAAGCCGGCATTGGTCATGTACGCTGTTGAATTGTTGTTGTTGTTGCGTACGCTCATTTGAAGAAACTATTACAAAGATGCCCAGATTGTGGAAAACTTCCGAGCGGTCAAAAAAGAGGATAAGAATAAAAGATTGCATGAACAACAAATGGATCGAACCTGACAGCAATCATTCGTGCCTGGTGCCTAATGAGTGACGATCTTGCTTTTCTCCAAGCCTTGGCAACGTCTCCAAAAATTTGTAACCTCATCAAATCACTCTAGTTGGGTAATTTTTATTCTTTTTATAATATAGCAATATTAAGATATAAAAACAGGTGGTTGCCTTAAAAAATTTTTATGGTCACCCGGCCGCGATTAATACCCCGCTTTAAAGGACAACCCATTGCATTAACAAAGCGGTCAAGGAAAGTGACTAATTGTAAAAGCACTCTGCCAGGTCCAGGTCTGGTCTTGGCTCAGGTCCAAGTTTAGGAGTAAGGTACAAGGCCCTACTCTGGCGCCGATGGCATACGTGTCGGTGTAGCTCATTGATAGAGTGTTTGCCCGGTAAGCGAGAGGTCACGGGTTCGAATCCCGGCGCTAACCATGCTTTGTATACCCAGCCCCAATCTATAAAAGAACTGGCGTGTTCAACTCAGTGCCAGATTCAGGAGTAAGGCATAAGACCAGACCTAGAACTGTCCAGGACTTTGGGGTCCAAAGTCCAGGAAACCCAGATCCTGGCCTGGTTGATGACCCAGTGCTTTCCTTAGGTCAGTTCTGCAAAACCAGCCCAGGTCAATCGAAGCCAGTCTTGCCAAGGTCAGACCCCAGATCCAGTACCAAATTCACTACCACGAACCCTATGCCAAGCATTTGATCATCGAGTGGATCCGGTCGACAAATCAGATTCCGGCGAGCCGACACATTCGCATGAAAGAAGAGAAAGTTGAATACATGAGCCGTGTCCGCATTCATCACTTGATCGCATTTCTTTCCCCTCATGGCGCTCGTTGTAATCTTTTTCGCAAAGTCTGAATGGTTTTCATGAAATTTGACAATTCTTAAAGGCTTCCATACCTGCAAAAATTGTACCCACACTTCGGATTCTCGCATCGAAACACGGAATGCACCTCTTTGGCAATTTCAATTACCACTGCGAATTCACAGTGCTGACATCTAAAAATTGTAATTAACACCTAAAACTGAGAGATTTTAAGAAAAGTCTATAATTTTTACAGATTTTTTCAACGTTGTACCTTTCAAGGTTCTCCAAATTTGCCTCATCAAGCGCGGCTGTTAACAGTTTTCTGGTGAACACGTTTCGCTGCTTTTCCGTCAAAATCGGAGTCACATGAGCTTGAAAATTGCAGTTTACGTACAGATTTTGCTATTTGTACAATACAGAACTATTTTCTGCAAGTATTTTTGGCTAATTTTAGCAAAAAACTGGACTCAAATCAATGCAATGGTTAGGAAAGCGACTACTCGGCTTTGGCTCATTGAAAGCACCTATGAATTGTACTGAAAGAAGCTCGTGGTTTGTTAGTTTTCTTTCAGTTTCTTTTTTATGATGTTTTCCCCAGTTATTTACCTTCAAAAATCACTCCATCACACTCTTGGCGAAGACATTTCACCCCAAGACCGACCGCCGAAATGTAGGCATTCGCCGTGCTGGCATGAGCTTGAACACAGCGACCACAGAAGGAATGAGGTTCTAGAAAAAAAAGAGTTGAGATAGCTTTTGTACTTGCAAACCTCGATTCTCATCATTTTTCACTAGAGAATTGCACGAGATCGCGTTTTTCGTCTCAAAGCTTTCACGACACGCCGAACAGTTAAAGCACATCGATTGCTCGTAACTCGAAATGGTCTAAAGCGTTGGCTTCGATTACTCGAGATTTATCTTTCATGAGTAGACTTTTTAGGAGCATACAGTAGAAAGCATAAAGTAGGCACTCTATCTGGCATAAAACACTTTTAAAAACCTCACATTCTTGATGATTGCTTGATAAGATTTCCACATGTTCAGCGCGAATTTCGGCAAATCGACCCCATACGCGTTTTTTGTTTCAAGCTCTCGTCTTTCGTGATTCTCGTTGAAAATCGGGGCAACAGATTTTGGAGGCAAAACTGAAAACAATTGCCGGATTTTTTTGTTTGTTTAACACCGAAATTCCCATACACTGATATTTCCGCAATCTCTCCTCCAATCCGTAATCGCAGAGACCCAAAATGAGGGAACACTCGAAAAAGTCCCGTCTCTTCAGCAATTCATAGATTGTGCTCATTCGAAGCTGAAAAGGGTTAAAATTATTCAAAATTTTGAACAGTAAACTAAAATATTGATATTGTAAATAAAAAATATTGTAAAATAAGCGAGAAAAGGGGGACAACTATTAGGTGTGTGAAAAAGTAATCCACGTTTTTTATTTTTATTTTGTTTAAATAAATATATCTAAACAATTTTTTATTTTTTGTGAACGATATATATATATATATCGTTTAAAAGCTTATTTTTTCCTCTTTCGAATGATATATTTATTTTGTTAAAAGGACGACAATAAACTACTTTCATTTTAGTTTGAAAATGGTATACACAAGTATCGTTATTCGGTCAAATTTGCTTTATGAGTTCAAAAATGGGTTGAAAGCTGCGGAGGCTGCACGTCGAATTCGGAATGCGTTTGGCGAAGACGCCGTTATTGATGATACCGCTAGGTTTTGGTTCCGACGATTCAAAGGTGGTAATGAAAGCCTAGAAGATGAACCACGTGGCGGTCGCCCTGAGACCTGTTCTGATGACCAAATGACCGCTGTTTTCTCGAAAACCCTCGTTCAACCTCTTCAGAAATAGGTCTTACATTAAATTGTGATGGATCAACCGTAAGGAAACGCTTGAATGCCATGAATTTTATTTAACGAAACTTATGGTCTATTATATTTAAACGTTAAAAACGTGGATTACTTTTTCACACACCTAATAAAAGAGGGACAACTAAAAAAATGGGACACTTTTAGGGGGACATTTAGAGTAATATTTAGGGAAACATTTAGGGAAGCACTTAGGGAAACATTTAGGGAAGCACTTGTATAAGTTTTCGGTTTGTTGATAATATCTACCTTTGGGTATCGATCCCGGAGAAACAATCCCATTTTCACAAACTCGTCGTTCGATGGAATCTCTTTAATCTCATCATCTGCGTGACATCTTTCTCTGAAAGTTCATCGATTATCGTCTAAATCGATTAAACCAACGTTTTCAGCAACTCAGCCCACAACGCTTCACCAATTTGCTCCTTCTTGAAGAGTTGCTCTTCGTGATTGCTTCTAGAATGACCGAAAATTGAAACCGATATTTTGATTAGAACTTCAACGATTGACATAAGCCATTCAGCTAATCAAAAGCAAAAAAAAAGCTATTCTTTTGTCTTATGTACCAAGTACCAACTCCTTGAGTAAGAGCGGCTAACCTACAGGATACAATAGTCAAGGCACGCTTCAACTACCCGAGTTATAGTTAGAAAAGTTTTTGCTACAGTTACCCAAATTTTAGCACGAACCATATTCCGTAATTTAACCGCTTTTACAGTAACTCAAGTAGCTGGTAACTTAGAGTAATCAAAACTCTATAGACTACAACTCTTTTTACCCATTTGCTCGTTGTTGTTGTTGTTGTCGTAGTTGTTGAGAAGTTGATGGAAGATTCAAAGTTTCTCCGTTTGTTCGATTGTTTGTCGATGTTCCAGCTTGATCTCCATTTTCCTAAAAGCTTTCCAATTAAACCAATATCGCCAGCAACCACAAAAGCAAAAGCCAAACCGATATCGCCAGCAATCTTTCGTACAGCTCATCCTCCGTCAATTTGGCAAGTGGTCGGATTTGATCTTCGGTGAGATTGGGAAAGATTTCAAGCTAAAAATTTGCATTTTGAAAATGAAAATCTATAAAGTATACTAAAAGCAATTGAAAAATACGAAAGAATTCGTTTTTTAGCATTTTTACGGTTCAAAAATTCACCATTGCATCGATTCTCGGTCTAATTCCTTCTGAATCACTCGTAAATCCATCTTCAGCAAACATTTTTCTAAAAATATTTTGAATTAGCAAGAAAAATGGGTAAAACGGTGTTGTTTTTACTTGAAAAACATCAGCTGTGAAAAAATGAAAAGAAAACGGCTCTTACGCGAGGTAATTCCACAAAAGAGGACTGGGAAAAAGAGACAAACTACGAATTTTGTTGGCAAGTTTTCCCTCGAGCAAAGAAATCGCAAAGAAAATGTGTAGTGCAAAGTTAGTAACCATTCAACCTTACCCAATACCTTCCTACTCACCAACTCTTTTTTCTAAAATAATTAGACACAAAGGCCAAGAAGAAAAACCCTAAGAAGATCTGATTTGATAGATTTGATTTGATAGTTTTCGTGCGTTTTAGTTGAAAGAGAATTGGTTAAGCTAAGTTTATGCGGCACGTATAAAAAGAGTAGACAATGGAGTAGAAGAGAGCCGAGAGAAACGAAACGGAATCATTTTAGAAATTTAAATAGGAAACATAGGGGGGGGGGGGAATTATAACGGAAAGGGAATGTGGGCAGACAGATAACCTTAAAACGGATGGTTTTTACAAAAGGGGAAATTAACTGATACGGGACTCGGCAAAAAGCGAAAAAAACCCGCGAAAAAACCAGGGCTTGACCGCAGTGCTGGTTACTAGTCAACTTTTGAGGTCACTACTAGACTAGTAATCTTTTTTTGCTAGCCTACTAAAACCATTACTATTCTAGTAACTTTTAGAGATAAATACTAGACTAGTAATGTTACTAGTTTAGTGATTTTGGCAAAAGTTCCCTGTACTTGCTTTAGGTTTGTAGTTTGTAGTTAGTTATAGTTTGTAGAAAAATCCTCACTTTAATCAAAATTTATTAACAAGTTTATTCGTAAAAATATCTTTATCGAAATGCGCCAATTTCCTTTGCACCAAGTGAACTTTTTTTTCAAAAACACTTTAACTACTCGCAAGAATTTGTTGATTTTTGATTACATTTTGATTATTTGATTCACAAAAATTAGATTATTTTGACGAATAGAGTATAGAAAAATATATTTTTTATGTTTTTCATTTCCTTTTGTGCTTTTTCCTTGCTTTATTGATTTCAAGTAGTGTTCAGATTTAGGAGAAGCGGCGATATCCTTCTCAATCACCACAATATCTTGCGGCATTTTCGATAAACGGCAAACCGGTAAGGGTTTTATTTCTAATATCTCTACAACTTCTAAAACCACTTTTTTGTTATTTGGCAAGTTTAGAAATTGTAAAGTTATCTAAGAGTTACGCGAGTTAAATGTTGAGTTAAATGTATACCGGATTCCATGCCGGATCGACTTAATGAAGTAATAAAAGCAAAGGAGGGCCAACCAAGTATTGATTTTAAAAAATGGTGTTAATTCTTCGCAAATGGGGCATTACTTTTGTGGAGCTAATTTTTAAGTAACTTATTGGTTTTGTTTTATACTTTAATTTGTATGTAATGTATACGGATAAATCTCATATTCTTGAAAAGTAGAGTCTTGTAGGTAGATAAAAATACCCTACTCTTTTTCTGAAATGTCAATTTTGCAAGATTTCCTTGGATGGCAATGGGGCATTTACTTTTGTGGACCACTGTATGTTACTTTCAATTTTGAAACCTTTTAATGTTTGAATAATGTTTTTGCATTAGAATCGCTAAATTACTAAAATTGAAAAATGTAGTAAAATTTAATTGTAAAATGAGTTTTCTAGGGTAAAAAGAGGTTTCGAAGATAAAAGGTTTCAAAATCGGACGTAATGTATACATTCTAATTTGTAGATGATCTTCGGAGATTGTCGTGCATGAGTTAGTAACTAAGTGGAGTGCAGAACAATCAAAGGTAAAGTGTATTTGTGCTTTTTATAAAGATTGAGATTTAGGTTCTTGTCACCGGACACATTTTTCAACAAAAACAAGGAGTTCTATTACGAAGATGTTGAAATAAATCTACAAGCGAATAAACAAGAAAAGCGGTGGGAAGATTTATAGGTGATTCCAAAAAAAAAACTATCGTACTGTTTTTGTTAAGGTGTGTAAAGAAAAATAGCAGAGGCTCTGCTAAAGACACTCCGGCAGAAACGGTTTTAAAAAAGATCACTGAAAATTCAGTCAATCATCAGCCACCCAATTACGGAAAAGAGGTATATTTAGTTCTGTGCCAACAACACACTATGTTTATTTAGTTGCGATTCATCAAAAAAAACCGTAAAGTTTGATGTGGTAAGCGGAACCCCGACAAGTGTGACCATAACCGTGTCCGAAGAGCTGATTTGGACGTTAAATCGTTTCTAAATGAAACAGTTGGATCCTTCGGCTATAGCGATAATGAGCTTATGAAGAACGTTCTCAACATCCTCCGCACATCAATCAGTGAGAATGCTTTGAGTCTTTGAGTCAATCAAAAAAAGCCCATCGCTAAAAGAACTAGTACTTCAAATTCAATTTCAAATTCAACCTCTAGGAATCTTTCTAATCAGAGCTTATCTTTTCATTGATCAATGAATCTCCATCCAATGTGTTCCCCCTTCACTCATCAATCTCTTTTTCTCTTTCTTTTCCCGTCCTTTTTGTCAGGTTCATTTAGGGCGGCTGTTCCTTGGAATCAATAAGAAAAGGGGATCGAATCGGTGCGAAAAGTGACCGCATAGTGGTTATTACAATCGTTTCGATAAGCATGTACTAATCGTTGTTTACAACGAAAATATTTGATCTCATAAATGTCATCTTTGAGCGCATAGCTCTTTTGCTTTTAGCTTCGAATTTCGGTTTTATTTTATCGCTTTCCACGAGGCAAAATTCAGTTGAACCGCAAATATTGGTTTTAAGCTAGAGAATGGATACTTTAGCCAAAAATCAGCTAACATTCTTTTTTATCTAATTGAAGACTTCGTTCGTTTACCTTTTCAACTTTCATAACTCCTCATTTACGTCAAAAAAGGCGTGACTAAGCACGTTCAGAATTCAAGCTCAAATTTCAAATACCTTTTCTAGAGCGGCACGAAAAACAAGTTCGCTGTGGAAAAAACGTCAGCTGGACGTTGACCGATCCTCTCTTTAGCGGTGTTCCTGTTTTCCGCTTCTTTTCTCCATCTTTTTTCGGAAAGCTCTCTCAAAAAGGTGTCCCTTCAATCTTCAGTCGGACCGGGGGGACGAGTGTGCTTAACGTTTGTGCCATCACTTTCCTCATTGCGGACTTTGATCGTTTCTTATCGTGATTACTTGCAAAGCTTTTGTCTATCAATTAACTATAAATTTAATCAATAATCTTCTGATTAAGGTAGTTTTTTTAGCTAATAAAACAGTCTTAATAAAACTGATTTGAGCCTAAATGAAAAACAAAACAAAACCAGTAGAATATGGTAATTTGCTTAAAAGGCACAGTACTTTTAGAAAAGTTGAGAACAGATTAACCATACTTTTTCTTATTTATTTACCTTATTTACCATACTTGTTTAGTAACAGTTTTTTTAAAAAAATCATCACTTATCCTTTAGTTCTTTTTCCAACTATTAAACCCTCTTTCCCAAGGCCTCAAATCCATTCACTAAACACTCAAGGTGAGAAAATGGTTCTCTCCTCTTCTCTTTGACCTTGCTCGATCATTAGTTATTGTCTTGATCGGAAGGAGGAGGGAAATCACACCGATCTTCACAAAGGGAGTCTTAAAATAACGGAAATGTGTTTATGGATTTGGATTTGTAGCTTTACGAGAAATGCTTTGAAGAAATTTTTAGTTTTAGTCTTGCCAATGGCTTTGATAGGACTGAAACTGTCTACTTTGTTGTTAAAACGTATAAACTATAAACCTATAAACTATAAACCATAAACTATAAACGTATAAACCATAAACTAAACTATAAACTAGACTATAAACTAGACTATAAACTAGACTATAAACTAGACTATAAACTAGACTATAAACTAGACTATAAACTAGACTATAAACTAGACTATAAACTAGACTATAAACTAAACTATAAACTAAACTATAAACTAGACTATAAACTAGACTATAAACTAAACCATAAACTAGACTATAAACTAAACCATAAACTAAACTATAAACCATAAACTATAAACTATAAAGGATTATAAACGTAACGTAGAAACTTTTGTATCTTCCCAAACACTCTCACTATCAGAACCTAAAGCAGTTAGATTGGATAAAAATTAGAAGCAAAATCAAGACAGTCTTCGAAAGGTGACACGTTTTAGAGAGCCACCGTTGGATTGATTGTTGTTGGCTCTGTAAAATTGTACGTGCTAGTGCGCTGGAAAAATAGTTCACTTCAATTTCTAGATTTAAAAGGCAATACTGAGCAAATCTCCTCGAAAAAGGGGATCATTGCCCTCTCATCTTTCCCCTTGCCTCTTTTTGCTTTCAGTTTTTCAATAGTGTTGCTCATTTGTCTCCCCCTCTTCACCCTCCTTTTTTCTTTGTTTTCCCACTGGACACTTCCCAGGGTTGCACAAAGTCGTTTTTCAATCTTTCTCCCATTTTCCTCTTTGCCTGAAGACCATTCTTCTAATACCCGCCTCGATACTTCTTTTTTGTTTTGCACTAGTCATTTTCTTGATTCATTTTTGAAAGTTTTTGTATAAGGAAGAGACGTATCTCGGCAAGATATCCAAAGCGGTTATCGGAGAAATCGAGACGGCAAAAGTCTCCGTTTGATAATCGGATGCTTAAAGGTGATAAAGCTTAAAGTAAAGTAGACAAACGGCCCTATAAACGCTTTGAATTTGCTTCAAATCTGCCGCATTCACATGATCTATAGCTCAAAAACTAGAGAACCTCAAGAGCTTTCGAATGGACCAATGTACACCCAAAAATATCAATGCTAAAGAAAGCTACAGTGGCTTGTGGAGCAATTTTGTCTGACTGAGGACTGACTAAGACTGAGGAAGAACTGGTTCTGAAAATTCTAGCTTAAAGCCTATTCAATCAACTTTTTTTAGAATTCTATTTTGCACTATTCATCTTGATTATCAAGTATTGTATTTGTAGAAAAGGCAAATCAAGTTCAAATCAAGGCAAATTGTATTTGAAATAAGCTCAGAATTTTATTCATAGATTAGAA